TGATGTGAGTACGATGTTTTCACGATAGACACGATGTGAGTACGATGTCTTCACGATAGACATGATGTGAGTAAGATGTCTTCGCGATAGACACGATGTGAGTACGATGTCTTCACGATAGACATGATGTGAGTACGATGTTTTCACGATAGACACGATGTGAGTACGATGTCTTCACGATGGACATGATGTGAACACGATGTTTTCACGATGTCTTCACGATAGACATGATGTGAGAACGATGTTTTCACGATAGACACGATGTGAGTACGATGTTTTCACGATAGACACGATGTTTTCACGATGTCTTCACGATAGACATGATGTGAGTACGATGTTTTCACGATAGACACGATGTGAGTACGATGTTTTCACGATAGACACGATGTGAGTACGATGTTTTCACGATAGACATGATGTGAGTAAGATGTCTTCACGATAGACACGATGTGTGTACGATGTCTTCACGATAGACACGATGTGAGAACGATGTCGCGTCCCTCGCCAGCAATCAGCTTACAGAGAATGTCGGGAGAGTCCAGTGCGTTTCCAGGGTTTGATACCCGTTTGCAGTACGTTTCAGGTTTTCAGTGTTTTAGTATCCGTATGCCACACCGAAGGAAGGCTGAAGTAGGCTTGGGACAAGACAGCGGGCGAGGACGGGTCCAAGGAAAATGGAGTTGGGGAGGTAGAGGTCACCGCCACCCACACACAGCCAGGACCAGGCCAAGGACCAGCCCCCACACCTCAGTCCAAGTTTGGAGAGATCACCCACAACCACAACCACACCCACACCCACACCCACACCCACACCCACACAGAGCTAGGATTGGGATCAGGCCAAGGCAGAGGTCAAATTACTTTTAAAATGACAGGCTGGCAGGACCTAAGATGCTTCCCCGAGTCTCGTGGGGAAGGGTAGGGACCAGAAGGAGGAACATGAGGAGGCAAAGGACGTCGAGGAGTAGGATGATGATGATGACTTCGGGATTGCCACGCCCAAGCCATCACCCGGTGTTGCTGATCACCCTGAACCCATACCCGGGGGTCTTGTAGGAGTTGCCAGTCGCCAGGTCGCGGTGAGTGATGGCCAGGGGTAGAGCTGACCCCAGTGGTTCCCTCATGGAGGTCACCTGCTTCTATCCTTGGACCGACCCTACCCTGAAGCTCCAGTAAAAACCCCGGGTCCACCCGCAGGAAAGCTTTGGAACCCTGGCCTGTCCTCTCGTGCCAGCTCCTGCAGCAAGGTATGGTAGAAGCCATGCTGCGGCCGACGAAGAAGCGAAGTCCTCACCCAAAGCTTTCGCTGGACTTGACCGCGACGTCAGTCCTCCTCTTCCTTCGATTACGTCTTCGGACAACCAAGATGAAGGCCGCAATCACCCGAACCACATACCTTCTGTACTGGAAATAAACATCTAGCTGCTGGTGTGCCATGTTGCTGTGATAAGCACTGTGTTGTTTAGCCTGCGAATACCAATGAAACGCGCCAAAATTCGGTCCTATTCCTGTTGCGGTTTAGTCATGTTCACATCGTGATAAACTCGTAGAGATCGTGTTAAGCTAGAAGTAAGCTCGCAACTAACTCGTATTACTCTATATCGTGCCAACATCGGTTGGATTTCGTAGTGACATCGCACTGACATCGTACTAGCCTCGTGTTATATTCGTAGTAAACTTATGATATGCTCGTGCTTCATCGTCCTAGTGCCGTGTTCACTTCATTCATATACACGATTTTATACCCAGTACGATATTTCACACATCGTGATATATCGCGGTCAACATCGCTTGTAGCATAAGTCTTTTAATATGGCGTGTTCATTACCATGTGTCAGATTCGGGTGTTGCATACTCGCATTGAAACGTGATATGTTGATAAAAATGTCTGTGCTTGCACATAAATGTCGTGTGTTTCATAAAGATGCTGGTAAATGCGACATCAATGCTGGTGTGCGCAAAGAAATATCGCATGCTTGTTTAAGGTGCTAATATTGGCAGAGCAGGTATCATTGCGAAAGGGAAGCAGGTCGTTCAGGTTTACTGTACCTGACAGACCAGGGTTGAATCTGGGATTCGAACCCGGGACAGTGGTCCCTGGTGTGTGAGGGACATAACTCCCACAGACAAATACAGCGACTTACACAAATGGACCACCCAGACTCTTGAGTGAGTGAGTGAGTGAGTGAGTGTTTCACACCACCCGTAGCATTATTTCAGCCATATGGCTTCGAGTGATCACCAGAAAAAGGCCTTCATATAGTATACTAATGTGGGTAATCGAACCTTTGTTTTCGTTCTGACGATCAGTACCTTTAACCACTAACCCCACCGCCCTTTTAAAGAACAAAATACCCCAACACCATTCACGTGTAACATGAGCTTCTGATTGGTCAAGAGTAGGGTGTTATTTACTGATGTAACAATAACTGTCCATAACAGTACAATAATTGTCCATTACAGAACAATTATGATTCAATGATCTTTACAAGAAGTTAAAATCTGTTTCCTTCTGTAACAAGGCAGGTTATTTTGTCAATTAGCGATAAAGTCCAAACGGTTTTGGGTTGTTTTTTTGTAAAATGTGCAAGATATACCTCTAAAAAATTACTAAATATAATATACAACTGTAAAATTAAAACTAAATATACACTACTTTCAACTAACCTTTGAACACTTTCCCTTATACCCACTCCTCTCCAAAACCCAACCACTCCTTTCATCTCAATTTTTATTTCACTCGAGAACACAACGCTTACATCGTCAAAAAAATCTTAAAACTGACTCATCTACACATAACAACGAACTAAGTTACAATAACCCTAGGGCTGTGTCGAGAAGATTTATTTGATCTTTTCATTTGTTGCCGGTCTATGGTTACAAAATTCTCCGACGTAAAACGTCTTGATATAAGTATGATCAATCACGCGAATCCTCTATGCTATCAGTAGCGTGACACGTGTGTCTAGAAATTAATGATGATAATGATAATGGTAATGTAATTGCGTCTGGAATTCAAACATATTATTTGACAGAGTGAATTAACCAAGAGAAAAATATTTCATCAGTGAATGTATATCCTGCCAGGTGTGCTTGTTTGCGTCCTTATGTCTACATTATAAATGCGGCGTAAAAAGTCCTTCATGAACTATGCTTTGTTTGTTTTTTCATTTCTGTCAGTTAAACAATCTATTCCGAAATCTGTTTGATGAAATAAATAATTTGAATATTATTTCAACGTTTTAATAAAAAATAATAATGCACACATACGCATATGCATACGCGCACACACACGCACGCGCATACACTGGAACGAACTTAAATAAAGTACTTTTTTTCTCAGGAACATTAACTGGAATAACGCCCCTGTTTAAGATCCAGGTTTGAATTAGTCTTCAGCAATCCATGCTTGTCGTAGAGGCGACTAACGGGTCGGGTGGTCAGGTTCGCTGACCTTGGTTGATGCATGCCGTAGTATCCCAGTTGCGTAGGACGATGCTCATGATCTCAGTCACTGGATTGTCTGGTTCATATTTGATTATTTACAGACCACCATCATATAGCTGGAATATTGCTGAGTGCAGCGTTAAGCAACAAACCAAACTAAACAAGGACCAGTGATTAAATTATTATTAGTTAATTCTTAATAAGTAACCTTCCAAAGAGATTAACAGTCCGAGGCTGGACGCCTAACTATACACATCTAATATCTGTGATGACATCCCTAGCCTTTATAGCTTAACAGGAATTGTTTTTTTCACTGTACGTCTCTCATCAATGCTCTGTTGCATTCAACAGCTCTTTCGGCGACAAGACATAAACAGGCTAATAACGGCTGTCCTAAAAACATCTCTGTCTCTGCATCAAGTTTTGTACTGATCGTTTTAGCAGTTTAAATATGTTTAACATTTAACAGTATGACAGCGCATTTTATATTTATTATCACTTTGAAGAATAGATTGATCATTAGTTGTATGTATATGTTTTAGTCTACTAATGTCCGGGATGCAAGCGTACAGGTGATTATCAAATGACGCGTGAATCACAATGCAAGCAAATCGATGACCTCAACCAATCGATATCTTTCAGATAACAATAAACATCAATGTGTCAAAAAAGTGAAGGAAACGTATCCTTTGATTTATAACTCTAGTCACTTTTTTACATATTCTTTTGTGGCTCAAAAGATTGTGTTTAGAAATATTTAAACTCATTGATAAACTATTCTAATTATTTGCAATATCTACAGGTTACATAATGCAGTAAAACTAAGGGTCAGTTACACACCATAAAACCACCCTTGCTGATTACCTGTTCCACGTTTAATAGTTCCAGGAATAAACATATTCTTTTTGTCAAGTGCAAAGAAGTGAATACAAAGATCTCAATCTCAAAATTATTTGACCAATTTAAATTTTAAAATGTATGAAATTATATAATTATTAGCCTCTTCAGTCATGGTGCTCTTCAAATGTAATTATTGTAATATAAACATTTCTCGTTGACATTTATATAACTCATCACGGTTTAATTTTCTCGGTTTTAGCGTGTTGAAGACCAAGATTGAATGTCGACAGAAGGTTGACAATTCAGTCAGTCCATATGCGGTATTAGACTAAAGATGTGCCTCGAGAAGTCGCGTACATATATTTAACGCGAGAAAACTCATTTGCTCCAAACTACTAGGGGGTTGAGAGAGGGAAGTGCGAGAGGGGGTGGGGGTTGAGAGAGAGAGCCGAGAGGGGGGGGGGGGGGGGGGGGGGGGGGGGGGGAGGGAGACAGGGGTAAAACTTAACACAGGTTGCCATATCGAAAAACCACAATTTATCTCAGCAGAAATACTGCAATGCGGTTCATTAATTATCAAACTGTTTCATAACGAAATAAACTCTGTATAACGACGTGAAAGTATATTTCTTGATACGTTTCTGGAGATGACATGGATAACAACACGTCATCCTTCAACAATTTGACACTATAAAAATAACATACACATATCATAATGTAATATGGTTTTATTGTGACCAATGTAGACTCGAGCACAGTCTAGTATCAACGTATTCGTTACACTTTTCTATGGCACATGCTCAACAAATACTCAACTAAACACCACAAACATCGCATTCACACTCACATATTCACCACCAGCATTCACACAGGTGCACTGGTTTCACCCACTCTATACTGCCTCACAGAGTGGCACTATCACACAGGGTGTTGCTGAGCCTTCAGAGCGACAGCCCGTCGTTGCCATTCACTGTCCGCGTATGAAAGTCAGGCTCTATATACCAAAATCTTCACATTTTTATCACATCTGTTTGACAGATTTTGACAGCTTCTACCAAAACGGCCCATTTTGTCGTAAATGTAACAGCCTTGCTCTTCGATACTAAATTATTTAAATACTTAAACGATCAAAGTTGATCATCACAGCCTACAAATCGGATAGTTATGTTGGCTTCTTAAAGTGTCTTTTCCATGCAACCCTTTTCGGTTCGACCATGTTGTCAATACTGTCTTTTCAGTTTCGCATACAATGTGTACAGCTGCTCAAACTCAAACTCAGCTAAACAACTACAATGAACCCTAGTAGTATAAAGTGTTTCAACAGGATCATCCATCACAGACTAACGGGTACAGCTACTCGGTCAGCTACCATCTACTGACTGCTGTCACACTTCTCTTCCTCCTCAACTTCCTCATCGAACTCTTCCTCCAACGCGTCCTCCTCTTCCTCATCGTCTCGGGAGCACTCGAGGACATCGATGTGCTCCTCGGGTGCCTGTTCTTCCTCTTTAATGTGTTGCTCCTTAACACAACAACTTTCTTCCTCTGTTCTCGGTGTGTTCTTCTCCCCTATGCTCTCGTCATTGTCTTTTGATACTTTTACACAGAGGTTGTGTGGCATATTGGAGTCACTATCACCATCATACTCATCTTCGGAGAGTTGTTCCACCACAAATCCTATTGGTTGTGTTATGGGGAATAGGGGCATCATGCCAAGAGCTAAAGGTCCTAATGATTTACACGCTTGTACACGTGGGTATTTAGAATTCGGTCTTCGACCACGCGGCACTTTAGGCGTTTCTAGAAGACTGTCTATACTGAAAGGGCACTTCCGCTTCTCGGGCTGGCCATGATTGCTGTCGTCACTTCCTGTATCTGGTCTGGTATTGGGTGACAACAGTGACGAGCTGTACGGGCCGTCACTGGCGGAACTGGACAGGTCAGACAGCGACAAAAGCGACAGTTTGAGCTTTCCATCACCGGAAACTCGCCTCTTCTCCTCGAGTCTGCGTAGACGGTCTTCCTGTTTCCTCCTCTTCTTCTCCGCACGCTCTTGTTCTCGTCGTTTCACTTCCTCTGGGTCCATTGGCTCTCCACTGCATGTCTGCGGCTGCGCGTTGTGAGCTGGACGTCCAGGGCCTTTTTTCGTGTTTTCCTTCTTTCGCCATTTTGCACGTCTGTTTTGGAACCAAACCTAAAATTAAAAAAATAAACATTTAGCCAAATTCAAATCATTTGTCCTTAATTCAAAGCAAAAAATAACTTATCAAGTTTAAGCTTGATTTGTGCCTGAAACAAACACGATAGTACCATATTTGCTGATTTGATCGAGTTAATGTTTCACCGTTAATGTAGTCATCGACTGAGTACTGAATTCTGGACCTGCACTAGATATAGCTACGTTCACGTTTACACTCTGTGAACTCCCGATAAGCCTCTTTTAATTGCGTCTTAAGTACCACAATATCTTATAACTAATTACACCGATATAAATGTACCTCAGTTCTATTTTCTCCTATAGATTTCATTGACTGTATTTAGTGAGATGTTTAGAAAATGTATGGGGTATTGGACAACTCAATTTGTCCAGCCGCCGTTTGCCACTTTGTTGATTCGAGGAGCAGATTAATCTGATTTTCTAGCTTTTAATGACGTATTTCGAAAGATCATTTACGCAGATCACGGCCTTGTTTCCAAACAAACGGCAACCAGTCAGCCCCGACTCCTAAATCCCTTAATGTGTGCTCGAGATTTCGATCGATATCTCGCGAGATCCTTCATCGTAATTCGTTGCAGTTTTAATTTTTACAACGTAACTCAAGCCCGCGCTTTAATAGACATAATAAACACTAGAGTTGATCAGAGAGCTACCAGACTTGTAATGTTTAGCAGCAGCAATGTTTTCATTCAATTTCTGCCCGCTTCTTGAGTTAGTAAGTAGCAGAACTCAAGCAGACGACACGATCGCTGCACGCGCCGTGCCCCATCGATCTTTGCGCCCTCGGTCGCCTCGGCGGATGCGCATTACCGTGTTTCCTGTTTGAACTACACGGAACAATTATCATCTCCAACCGTGTCTTTATCATAGACGCTGATACACAACAAAGCCGTTGTGAGAAGCCAATTAAATGATTACTCATTTGATACTCATAGTAATTGATTTGACACTGCCGTGCTATGAAACTGAAGCTCTCAAAGCCAATTGTCTGCCATTCTTAATCGCTGGGGAGATTCTATGGTCACGATAATTTCTGATTTTCCAATAAATGGTCTTTTTAAGTTGCGAATCGGGGTCGTATTGGGCAAATATTACTCCAAGTTGAAAACATTTTCTCCTTTTGACAAGAAGACGTCTGGCAAATCAATGTATGACTTTGTTTATTTTGGTCCATCAACAACGTCGGCAACTCGTAACGCCCTGATCCTTCGCGGTGCTAACTTCCTAACCGTATTTGCGTCATTTAATCAAGTCAATTATACACGATAGGTTATTCTCATGTCGGACCCTAATTTCCGGAAAAGGTTAATTAACTGTATAATTATATTCAGGTAATTAAAAGATTGGTTAACATAATTTCAGCCTTGAATGACTCCTCTCATTCATTGGTGATCTCAAACTCGACCACAACATGAATAACGCTACACATATCCTGTGATTACAGAGTGCTATATAATTCTCCTGACCAGGGTCCTGTCAAGTCCATCTTTAGTGGACTGATGGAGGGTTTGACGCCTGGTTCCAATTTCATATTTTAAAGTCGTCTAATTCTTAATAATATCGGTAAATACGTTAAAATACGGTTTAAACAACCCTGTTCTTATTTCCAAGTAATTCGCGTTAACGAGACAACGTCAATAGGGTGGTCGTAATCATAGCCTGTCTTGCTAGTCAAGCACCCGACCGGGGTAGGGCCTTGTTAACGTTGATGTATGGTTCTCTAACCGCGAATTATGACAGGACGTCGGTGATTCAGTGATATCAGTTACAAGGACCGGGCAGTTATGGTGCTTCAACACGCCGGGTAGATGCTAAAACGTGTCCACAAAGATCTTGAAATCGCCCCGCCTCAGTGAAGATTTGGTCCCTCCCTTACGGAGCTCAGTGTACCGAGACTCAACTTGAGATAAGAAAGACGAGTATATATACCTATATTCATTACTAGCTAAACCTATCCCTGGGTAATTGAATATCATACGTCCTAGCCGAGTTAAAAGTCGCGCTTTTATGTCGAAAGGGTAATTTTAGTTGAGTAGCCTATGGCTGAAGCCTGGATAAGCGGATTTCCATAGTTAGAAATTCGGGTGTGCCTAAACGTCGTAGAAATATCAATTACCGCCATCAGCAAGCATTAGCTAACTTTTTAAGATATTATCTTTCGCTGAGGAAAGTGGAGTGTTTAAAAAGATAATTGCATCAATTATTATCTGACGGCAAAGTGGAATCATAAATTGAAATGCTGTACAATTGCTTCAAAGGCTATACAGAATGCTTGTTGAGGGGCATCCGAGGTAAAGACTCTATAATGGGGGAAGATCCACAGCGCGCTGCACCAGAATTGGGGTCAGACTCGTCAGGTCTTAGCACTTCTTGGTACGGAATTTCAATTAAGAAAATCTCACATAGTTAGTCACTTGTTCGAAAATAAATATTGATAATAAATTATTTTTTTATTTAAGATGGTGACAATCTGGGCACCCGGACTATCTCAGCTCCCCGCTTGGTGCTTCTGCGGTTCACTGAGCCGGTAATATTTCTCATTCAAGACCATGAAAAAGTAAACGACAGATGATTAATATATCATACTGCTATCAATGACACATATGATGTGAAAGGTTTTCAACAAGCATGTTAGTGGAGCTCTAGGAGCGGGGGCCATTACATATGAAAGCCACCTTTGTGTGTCTTAGCAAGGTTACATCAGCCTTACGTCGTTTGAAGATGCGGCATTTTATTCTTTTGTTAAACAGGAATATTTACAACCCCGTATATCAACTGACTGCATCTGTGTAGTTCATTTCAAAACATATGTAATCCCTGGTGTATGTTATCTGTATTAGGGATAAGAAGCTTTAATTTCAAAACGATATGGGTCGGACTTTAAGTGGAGTATCAGTCGATGATCAAGGGCTACTTAACTTGTAAAGCGATTATTTCATAACGTTCGTATTACAGGAGCTCTTGGGGAACATGCGAAAAATGTCCCATAAAGGAGTACCTCATTTTGTTTTGTGATGACTTGACAATGTCATCATTGTCCTCATGACTGAACGATGGTTTGAAAACTGATGAAGATGCTTAGACAATATGTGTTAGTCTAAACATGAGTTGTGTAAGGCGGCGCGGTACAAACACCAGCATTGTGTGACATCACGGCGACGACGTAACGTTACCAACACCGGCAACATCCCCCGAGAAACGCGCAAACCTTGCATACGTGAGAAGATGGACTGCGAGTCAGTTACGTGATGGAAGATTAACGCAGAGGTTGAAAGAATATGAATGTATAAAGACTTGAATTAAACCATTGGTTGGCTGGCTGAACAAGTGTTTAAGTAGTAGTCACACACTGCGGGTTTTGTTGGGATGTCCGCGCTGTGTGGACATAAGAAGGCTATAGTCCGTCAAAGTCCATATACAAAGACAAGGTATTTTGCTGACTTAACACACGGTAGTCCTTCGGCCACAGCGTTATTAGCTCACATCTCGCGATGTAATTAATTCTAATTGACAAGTGTTTACTTGGAAAGCTCTCGAAATACGCGTTGCCCTGCTACTGAAAATCTCTCCAGATATTTACTGTGAAACAATCCGCATGTGTTATACGATACGAGAAAGTTAAGAGAGATATTTCCGCGAGGGGAGCCCCGGGGTACAGATCGGGTGGGTGGCACGGGGTCCATGGATGCTTTACATCAACGAGTGTTTTTACTTCATTTCAATTCATTTTAATTGGATTTAGATTTGATACTTTTCAAATAACATTCTAAATATCTGTAACTCTGTGTAGGAATGAGAATTTACTTTTGTTAATTGCATTGATTAGGGATTAAGCAATTATGGTTAACCGTATTACATTGACATATTGACACATTTACACATACATACAAATTCAACATATTTGGAGCTCATGTGGATGCTACGTATTTTACTCTTTGGAACATATTTTCCCCAATAAGAAATATATTACATTCTATATAACAATTGTCAAATGAAAATATTTGAGAAAGTGTATTCAATAAAGATTTATATTTGTCAAACGTAATACCTGTCACCTATCAGACATACTATTCTGGAATCAATATCGATACAGTTACATTATATGTATATGATCAGTAAACTGAATTGACTGTTAAATATATTATCCCATTCTATTTGATAATTATCTTAAATATATTTTTCCAAACCGGTTGACTCTATTTTACAGAGGCAGGTTAACAACTCATAATGCCGCTCTTGATGAAACCAAATTTATATAAGAAAACAATCACTTTGTTCTTCCTTTCAAGAAAACCTCTCCAAATACACAGAACGGGGTATCTGGTTTAGGAACGGTTATTAACCGAAACTAACAAAATATTACAACGAAGCAAAATCTTGCACATGTAAATAACGCACCTGAACACGAGATTCCACGAGATCTAGTTTGAGAGCCAACGCTTCACGCATAAACACATCAGGGTAGTGACTATCTTGAAACGCCTTTTCCAACTCTTCTAGTTGCCATCCAGTGAAATTTGTACGTGTTCGGCGTCGTTTTACTGACTGACTGTCTTTGCCGTCGTCCTTCGAATCTGTAACAATAATAACAATAATATATGTATTGATGTGATGAATACATTCATGAAAAATGATTACACTTATAACATTTAGTGGCGTTTGTACAGGTGGCAAAACAATAACAGATGGCGTTTATCTATTTATCACATAAACAATTCAGTAACTTTTCAAGGGCTGTCAATTTTCCTCTCATGGTTGTCTACTTAAAACAAATGTAAGACATTTATTTTGATGATTATGTGAGGCTATATACTTTAACTACACATCGCCATGACGAGCAAAATCCAAAACATTTTTCTGTGATGAAAATATTGTCCTTAAATTAGTCTTTAATGTTCAGAATATGTATTGTGTTCTTGTAAATAAATAGAGATTTGTTAAAAGATAACGTGACATTCTTTTCCCAGAGTTCGGGAAATTTAAAACCATTTTTAATGTCAAATCTCCGAATGTTTCAGTTCCTTTTGTTCAATTAATTTTTCATTGTTGTCAAACTTAGTGTTTTATAGACAACCATTTCAGTGTATATATTTGCTGTATTTTCACCAATATCGATAGTGAAAGAAAAACAATAAATAATATATAGTGAAAATGATAAGGAGTATTTCTTATAAGCTAGGAGATTATAATATTAAAATAATTTTGTTTATATTGTTATGTTTGTTTATGTTTGTTCAATAATTTGGTTCAAACAATTTGGTGTTTCTGTCCGAGAAAAATATAAAGCAATCAAAACGTTTGTTATCTTTGCAGACTAGTAGAACGTGCTGTGTGAAAAGCTATCATCAAGGAATATCCTTACATGTAAAAAAGATCCGGGAGTTAATGCAGGCTAAATAAATAAATAAACATATGAGCTTTTGTTTATAACTCACAACTCACGTAACGCATATGTGTGTCTAATAGTTAGTGAATCGTGGCGCACATGCAACACAAAATGACAATATTGTTGGAAATAAGATTGGTTGGAATATGAAACTATCTTCTTCGATGCCATGTGCTGTACACTTTGACTGCGTTATTGTTGATGGGCGAGGACAATATTTATGGGATGAAGAAGATACAATCATACAAATTATCCGGTACCGAATGAAGCTGGAAATATATCACTCAACAACTCCATCAAATTTGTCTGGATCTCGAAAGGCACATCGGTCTTTGGGGGGCAATTCAAAGAAATAGCATCCTCAGAAATTCATTCGTTTCACATGCTTTCAAAACAACAGAGATAGCGTTTATGGATAACAAGAAATTAAAGGTACTAAATTTCATTTTGTTCCATTGTAAATGTACCAGTTTTAATAACAACTGCTATTTTCATCTGATGTTTTCTCAGTCGCGAAATAACCCTCGTAAACTGTTCACTTAAGTGACTTGTACCCCCTTGATATTCAAAAACTATAATTTCATTTTACATTTAAAATTAGTTCTTGGACATTTTTATGACCAAGTTACGAGAAATGTACATACTAAAAGCAACATCGTCGGGGAAATGCGAGACTTTAAAAAAATAATGTATGTATTTTATCGTGGAAGCATTCTGTAGCCTTGCAAATATTCTACACAATGGCATAAAATTTTTGGCTCTAAGTTATTTCGCCCGCTTAATCAAAATTGCAATCTTGTTTTCAGTATTTATTAGATAAGAATGGATTTCGCAGAAAGTATTTAATCAAACAAGCATGCTCCTAGGCCCAGGGTGGTTTTGATTTATTGACCATCTCTGTAGGTAATGTGTAAGAGTAAATGGTCATCTTGCCAACATCTACATAAACAAAGCCGACTAAAATTGACTGGAAATTGGATTTGAGGCACCGATGGAGCCGTTGTCTCATCAATAAATGTTACTTATGTGCGCAGTCACCACTAGTCATGAGATATATTCACATAAAAAGTATATTTATTTCAATTGAAAAGTTGATAATTCAGTACAAATTTATCAATATGTTTTTATCAGATAGTTGATTTCCATTCATTTTCGTTAAAACGATAATAGTAAAAACAAATACATATACAATATAACTTTCACATATCGCAATTTAAATATTTTGATTAATGTTTTATGATATGAATTCACCTTGATGTGATGCTTTAAGTAAAACCTAGGAAGGCCTGTATTGTTAAGCTCAACAACGTTTGAAACAGATCTATCATTTCTAGATCCATTTTATACATATTTGACATATGCAGTATGTGTATCCTTTATAACACAAAAATACATCTTCAGACAGTTGAATTAAATAGTTACCTACTTTAGTAGCATAATGTTGTTTTTAATAAAAACAATAACAACAGGGAAAACATACCGTACAAGTACACAAACCAAATTTGGCCATCATTTGGGAAAACGACACCTTTTGTTTATATTACCTTTGAACAATTTCCAATCAATGTTTCAAAAACAAGTCATTGATCAGCAACGGATAGTAAAGAACAACCGCTGTGACTGTTATCAAGAGTTACTTACCCCTGCTGTGTGGGGAGTCGTGTTTGCCGAGGTCGTCTTTGTCGACGACAGGTGAGGAACTTCGTGAACGAGGCTCCCCCGTCGTAAGAATTCTATCTACGGAGAACTTGACTGGGCCAGTGGAATAATACCCCTGGTTAATGCTACAATCCAAAGCTGCGATTTGATCAGGGGGAGGCCCTGTCACCCCTGGAAGGTGTCCGGCGTAGTGTGGGTAGCTCTGTAACGCTGACAGGGCCGCATAGCTGTGAGGGTAAGATGTTTCCAAAAGGTTCATCTGGGCATTTAAACTTTGAAAGTTAAAGTGGTGTCCGATATTGGTCAACATTGCACACTTGGGAAGATACTCTGAGATTGACGGTAGCTCTACGGGCAGTCATCTATGAATGGGGAAGACGGAACAGTGGGTGCATGCCGCTAGCCAATCGGAAGCCTGGATTTGAGTAGGGTCGTTGTGGGCGGGGCTTGAGCCATACCCGCCTGTCGCTTGAAGCGAGAAGAGCGCTCATGATAGCTGTAAATAAAGAGAAATGGTGAAATGACATTTGATTAATGTGACGTTAACAGTTCCCCATAATGAACACATGGATTGAAACAGCCCAGGGCCAACAACAAACCTCGATTAATAGATTTTATACACATTAGAATGGGGTACAGCGGAGGCGATCGATGATACGAGTGGATGTACGCAATATTGTTCTAATTGTCAAATTGTCAGAAGAACGTTGGGATGAACGGGGTGGGGTTCAACAACACAATTGATTATCACTTGTGTTTCATAACGTTATTAAAACATAATGTAAACTGTTTGCACGGACGGTGAGAGTGCGATGGGGAGGGCGTGGTCGTTTGAGTCTGATGATGAAAGGATTGAGAGAGGAAGTCAGCACAGGAGTGGAAGTATAAAAACATTTCACTATCACTCACTGCCTACAGCTACGGGGGAATAAAGACCAAACGTGTGGCGCCTAGAACGAATAAACAATTGTTTAAAAGCATTGAAGCCAACAGAGGCGAGCGCTGGCTTTTTTAACTCCAATTCGCACAGCGAATACTATCATATTTTGGCCGTTTGGGTGGAACAAGTGAGTCCTTTTATACAATGTTTAAAGGTTAATTGAATATTGTTTACAAATCATGAATTGCCTCGATCAGAAGCTATGAAAGCTTTCACATTTATTTGGTAATGTGGTCCCTTCCATGGTAGAAGAAGCCAAACGGCTGCCTCGATGGAGCTTGCTTTACGAGCCCATGTTGACGCGAGGTACTTGAAAGCAAACCTTTAGACTAAATACCCGCAGGGTAAACTGCCAAATTGCCAGAAGTGTGGTGAAATAAGTGAAAGAGCATCGCGATAGTAATGAGAGATTGGGAATAAGACGGAAAAAATCTCTCTGGAAAGGTTCCCTGTCAATTTGACTTGGAAACCATTAAGAAATCTGCTTTTCCATGGAGAAACCATACTATACCTGTCATAGCCTCGCGCGAGCAGTCTTCAATAATTTAAACGATTTGCGAATTGTGTAAATCTATCCTTTCTGTGCAATTGTTCCAAAAGGTTAGGTTTTCGCAGTGGGTTCTTTCCCCCAGGAAATTGAAATGTGCAGTACTACAACCAATGGCCAACTACCTGGGCTGATGCGCTCAACCAAAGCTATTAGCATTTGTAAGATTTGACAAGCTCTTGACGGTGGAAGCCACTTTGAATCAGCCGAGACACTTGACTGCTTTTTTATTTCACGAAAAGGCGATTTTCTCCGATTCTTCAGGGAATAAGATTGCCAAATCATGGAATTAATATTGGACTAGCATCTGAACACATGAGAGGAAGAAACGTCAAAGTGGCACAAAAACATCTTAGTTTCAACTCAAAATTCACTTCGTGATGTAGAATATTGGGCCTTTCCTTTTTTATTTCATTTTATATTTCATATTTTTGATGTCAGACTACGGAAAGTCGATAATGTGTTTAGAATTTCCTTCACGAGTCTCACCGTAAGTACATCGGAATCCCATGTGTGTCGACTCTCACAAAGGATTAGTGAAGGACTCTTTTCGGAAACATTAATGTTTGAAAGCCCATTTTATTCAATATTTTATCACATTTGACAACACTTATATTACAGTAGTTAAAATGTTTATTTTCTTTAATTCGCCATGCGTTCCCGATTACAACTTGCTGTCTGTATATTTTGTTTTTTATTCATTGTAAAAAGTGTCACATTTTATTGATTCATGTATTTTCAAGATTAATCCACTGAATTGATGAGTTTTATTTTCAATTAACATTGACTAAACGTTATTGAAATACGATCGATGTTTTTAACAAAAATTCATGTTCACTCGTATAATTGCTTCTGATATCATGATCGTAGTCATATATGTCCTGTTATTTATTTGAATTATTGCAAAATCCAAATACATGGCGGGGGTCGGGGTGTGGATACACAAGGTCATCAACTGTACAGATATATGTTTATTTAAGTTTAGGATTGCATTTAAAGACAAGCATCAGGCTTCGTTGAAGACATTTTGCTTGTGTTTATACCAGATTAATTAAGCGTGGTCGAGCAAAATAGTGCACAATGAACATAATACATGAGCTGATCCGACAGAGGTATGTCACGTTGTTAGACCACCAGAGCGTTCACAATTGGCCTACACGCATAGTCATACTCATATCTCATCGATTGCTATATGTGTCGTGACTGTGCCTTTGCAATTAAAATGGTTTAAACACTGTCGATTAAATTTAACAGAAATAATATATTATAATATGATATGATATAATATAATATAATATAATATAATATAATATAATATAATATAATATAATATAATATAATATAATATAATATAATATAATATAATGTGTGTGTGTTTGTGTGTGTGTGTGTGTGTGTGTGTGTGTGTGTGTGTGTGTGTGTGTTACACTCAAATATAATAATCACTTGTTGTCTTCTTCTTGTTTTCTACACATCAAGGCTGGACTGCAAAACAAAGAATTTGACTGAATTAACGGTACTCGTAAAGACTACATGGTGGGCGGGAAGCTCTTTCAGAAGCAATAGCAATTGAAACCTTAGTTAGTAATGGGCTCTAAATAATTGGGCTAAAGGCCACGTTGATAGTCAAGCGGGAAAAGTGATTGTTTTCGTGTATGGAAACAAGATGAAAGTTTCGTCAAAAGCACAATTTTCGTTAACCTTAATATATTGTTTCCAAGAAATATATAAAAAATATGAATCCGATATTCAGTCACTGAGGTCATTATTGGCAGATTTTAAGACATCATTGTATCATCAGTGATTGATATCATATTATTAGCTGCTGGAATTGACACCTCTTGAAACATGTACATGACAAGCGTGGTAATGTCTGTGTCAAGCATGAGACTTACGAACTGATGAAATCAGGAAGCAGATGCATTGTCATAAATATGCCCCATGTCGAAGTCGGTCGGTCAGTGCTTGGTCAAGACAGCCAACGCAGGGATGATGACATCACAGCGAGGTGACCCTCGGTCATTTAGCACTAGAAGTGGCAGTACATGTCCACAGGGACTTGTCATGTGTTAATTGCGGGACAATACAAAACACCGATGCAATTGAAAGATACATCATAATTAAACTTCATTCATGACGACTTAAGCCCTTGTTGGTTTTCCATCTTCATGCATATATTAAGTAATGTGGCATCATTACACAAACAAGTCGTTTAAGTTGTTTAAATTTAAATTTTGATTTAACCCTCTTTGTTGATAAAGACTAATTCACAGTTTAACTTTAACATCTTAAAGCCAAAACAATTGTTCTGGAAAAAATATATATCCGCGAAACATAATTTACTTGATAATGATAAATTATATACAGCACAGTGGTCCATTTTTCAGGGCATATTGTTCGCTTTATGACCTTTCCCTTTATCCAAATAACGAACGAATTCAAATCACGATAACAGGCCCAAAATATAGCTATCTAAAGAGCAAGACGACCCTCATTATTGTACCAAATTTGCAAATGTGTTTTAATGGTTCTTCGATCGTATGCTTCACTGATCACTATTGGTTAGTGTGCTTAATAGAGGAGTTTATGTCCACAGGATACTGGGCATTATTGTTTATGACTTAGTAATTATGTTTACTTTATTCCGTATCTAGATCCTGTATATGTATTTTCTTTGATTTGTAGATATTTTTCAAGTATTTTGCTAACTTTTAATATGTTTACCGTCCAAAATAAGTAATTGTATATTATAATATAAATTCGTTACAACCCTGTAATAATAATAATAATGATGATGATGATGATGATGATGATGATGATGATGATGATGATGATGATACCGGTAAAGAAGGAAATGCAAACCCTTTTTGGAGAAAAACCTGGTGACATCACTGATTTTCAGTGATCAATGCATATAATTTATATCACTATTTTGCCTCTTACGTCCAATTGAATCTATTTATGCAGATAATCGATGCTGATTATTCCCTGGCGTGACGTTTTAAATTCAAATAAATTTTCAATAACTCAGATATTATAAAACGCAAGTGAGCTGTATATTAATCACCTCATTTGCATATGCAAATGATCCAACGGTGTCAACTAAGGCCTGCAGACAATCTTCAAATAATACACCCCGAAAGAAGTGTCTTGTGCCATTTTGTGACACCCTCCCCATCATCAATGCGCCTCAGGGTCCATCCTCGTTAGTCAAGGTGACGAACAATAGCCTCATATCATTGCAATCATTAGTGCAACAATAGTTAGATAATATCATTATTATTACACTTACAAAACTGGACAAGTTGTGTCGGAACGAAGATATGCATCAATCTGGTGTATGTCACGTCACTCTATGTTCTTACTTCATATTACGCGTGGACATGACATATGACTCAAGTAGGTTTGTAGGTAGACAGCTAAGTGCTACCTGGCGCTGCGGGGGGTCAGGTGAGGTGGTGGATAGGTGCGTTGATCACAAGACAATGCAGGTGTCATCTTCCTATTATCTGAGATGTCTGTTGTAGGTAGATTTACGCGAAGTAGGAATGAAGCCATGAAGATATGTATCGTCACACTCGTGTCATATTTCTGACGCGTTGGTGAGTGAGTGAGTGAGTGAGTGAGTTGGGTTTAGCTCCGCTTTGAACAGTATTACATTTGTATCGCGGCGTGTCAGCTTAACGTGAGAGGAAAGGCCCAGGTTGTGCAGGTCTTTGAGTCATCGTATCCCAATTGCGAAGATCGATTCTCATGATGTCAATCACTGGATTGTCTGGTCCAGACTCGATTATTTACAGACCGCTGTCATATAGCTGGAATGTTGCTGAGTGCGGCGTTGAACAACAAACAAACACACAAAAACAGGTCTTTGATCACAGGGATGGTGCAC